CCAGCCTCTGCCTGAAGAAATTCCTCCTCATCTCAGTTCCAAAGGGTCATCCCTTCACTCTATGGCTGTGCCCTCGGGTCATAGTCTTTCCTACTAGTGGAGACATCATCTCCACGTCCACTCTATCGGCTCCTCAGTATTCTGTAAGTTTTAATTAGATCCTCACATCCTTCTAAACTCCATTGAGTACAGACCCAGAGCCCTCAACCACTCCTCACATGACAAGCCCTTCATCCCTGGGATCATTTTTGTAAAACCTCCTCTGGACCACCTCCAAGGCTAGAACATCCTTGCACAGATAAGGGGCTTAAAACTGATCACAATATTCTAAATGTGGTCTGACCAGAGCCTTATACAGCCTCAGCAGTACATCCCTGCCCCTGTATTCTGCCCTCATTAGGCAGGTCCGTTCTGGTCAACGCATAACAGGAAAGATGTGGTTGTACAGAGGAAATTAACAAGTTTACTGCCAGAACAGGAGAATTATAGAAAAGATGGGAAAGACTTCATTTAACTTCTTTGAAACAATGGAAATGGAGGGGACTCCTAATGGAAGTGCATTAAATGATGAGGGGTGTCCACAGACAGAGTGAACAGGAAGGACCTATCCATGAGTTTGAGAGGTCCCCAGGCACAAGGCACAGACTGAGGCATTCAAGGGGAGATTTTTCACCCTAAGGCTGGAATCTGGAAATCACTGCCTGAAATGGAGGTCATGATAGAAGGTCCCACAACATCTTAAACATTTTAAACATTTTTCACAGGAGTGTAGGAGGTTGAGGGGTGACCTAATAGAAGTTTATAAAATCATGAGGGGTATAGATAAGGTGAATGGCAGGTGTCTTTTCCCTAGGGTGGGGGATTTCAAGACCAAATGCTATATTTTTAAGGGGAGAGGAGAAAGATTTAAAAAGGACATGAGGGGCAAATTCTTTTTTACACAGAGAGTGGTTCGTGTGTGGAATGAACTTCCTGAGGAAGTGGTGGATGTGGGTACAGTAACAACATTTAAAAGACATTTAAGTAAATTAATAAGAAATGTTTGGAGGGATATGGGCCGAGCACAGGCTGGTGGGACTAGTTTAATTTGGGATTATGGTCGGCATGGACTGGTTGGACCGTAGGGTCTGTTTCCACGCTGTCTCTCTCTATGCTATTTGGATATTCACCCAGAGTGCTATCACCTACAGGGCAAAATCTAGAACGTGGGATTAAACAGGATGACTCCTTGTCAAACAATGGGCTGGATGGCCTCCTTCCGTTCTGAAGAGTGTGACGATTCTAAGCATGGGGCAGTCACGATGTTTGACCGATTATTGTCGAGCAGCTTCCGAGATATGTCAGAGGTCAGTCAAAGTGCATTAGCTCAAGGGAGTGGGGCATGGGAACATCTCTGTCGGTGCGGAGCCTGCCCTCTGTTTTGTTTTAAAGATCATGTTCTGAAGCAGAGCGACCGTCTTCCCATCTGGAAGCACGCAATGATTGATACATTTCATTAATGCAACTATTGGTTGAGGTAGTGACAGCAGTCTCTTGGGAGAGACAATAATATCTGATAAAAGCATTACTGATATCAAATAAAGAAAAGAAATATACATGGAAAATGTTGTTAGTTCGACAAATTGGGTTACAGATATTACTTGAATAAAAAATAGGATCTGCAGTGGCCTAATGCTTTATGTATCAGCTAATCTCCTTACAGTGAGATTTGGTTTGCAGCCATCAAATATGCATCACATTTCTCTAATAAAATCGACAACAATTTATTATTTTTACATTCTATTGTCTTAGGTCAGAAAACTTCAAATTTTTCTAATCGCTTCACTTTTCTTTGTACTTTGCATATCGTTAAGTGTTTTAAAAACTTTACATAAAATATTGAAGTTTCTGATTATTACATTTGGAGAGGTGTCAGATGCAGACACGATGCTATGCAGAAGTGAGGAATAATTGACTTTGATTCAAATGTGCTTTTCAGGCTGAGGAGAAACAGATCCCCTTAGCCAGTTAAGAAAAATAAAGTAAACTTTCTGACCATTATAGCTAAAACCAAATAAAGGCCTTCCATACATAGTTATTTGATGACTTATAATCCACTCTAAGTAAGATCTGAAATAACAAGGTATAGAGCTGGATGAACACAGCAGGCCAAGCAGCATCACAGGAGCAGGAAGGCTGACGTTTCGGGTCTAGGCCCG